TATGAACAATATGCACACCCATATTGAGTGATAAGGTAAGAGCTGTTCTCAAAAAGAGGTTCATTTATTTCCCAGAAAAGTTATTTGCTATTAAGATATCAAGCACATTACCATTGTACTGTATTACATCACTGATAGAATATTTATTAAAATAATACTTACATAAAAACCACAATATATTTTCAAAAGTCTAAGAAATAGCCTTCTCTGCTGCAGTTACAACCACTGCTCACAAACGTGAGCACGACTGGGGGACACACCAGCAGCTTGGCTGTCTGGCTGCATGAGGTACCAGCACCCAATGGTGCGTGAGGAAACGAATAGCTTCCCATCAAACCTGGAAGCAGGGAGGGATTTGGATTTAGCACGAAGCAGTTCTGGGGAGCTATATTTGCTCTAATAAAAAGCCAGTTTTATCTGATACTGGATGTAGAAATAAACACATGGGTGTCAGTCTACGTGCCACTGACTGTTCAAGGAGGAGGGATGCAGACAGCAACTCATTTCCCTCACGTCCCACAGCCACGCAGCCAAGAGACCTGTTCAGAGAAAACCAAACCAAACCAAACCCTGTTTTTCACTAACAAGATCAAATTTTATTGCAATAAATACCATTTCTAAATACCTGGACCAGAACTAACTCATTGTAGATAGTCTGGACAACAACAAAAAAAGCACAAATTTAGTGTTTCCTCGAATTCTGTCTTTTTTTTTTTCCTTTTTTCAGTGATTTGGACAAAAGGCTGTATTATTTTTATTTTATACAAGGGAAAATGTAGGTAGAGAAAGAATTCACTTCCTAGGACACCTCAACAGACCTGCAGCAGATACTAGAAAAGAACTAATATAACCTGAGTCTCGACTCAATGATTGACTTATGACTGAAACTTGTATTAGAAGAGCACATTACATGGCTGCAAAGCTAATACTAATAAAGGAGAAAATGCCAAGATAGCTCCCTTAAAACAAACCTTTTGTGGTCTGTATTACAAGACAGCATGCTCAGAACATATAATAAAGTTGTTTCTGTAGGGCTGCTGTCTCAATCAGTAAAGAACTCCGTACACTGCCAGTTGATATGCAGCTATTGAATCATTTACTTTCTCTTCATTGTCAAATATGTGTTTCACATCTCATTTAGGGCACATTGTTCTAATCTTTCTCTGAAACCAGAATGAATAAATTATTTGTGGGCTATTTTATGGAACTTACCGTGTTTCACTGATGCAATAAAATGATTTTTCACTTTCAAACATCCCAGTTAGGTGAGAAGCTGGAATTATTTGTATTTTCCAGATAGAAAATTGAAACACCAAGAATAATCACAGGTAATCACTAAATTGAGGGGGTTCAACTTCAGAAATGTAGTGTCTGATTCTTCAGAGTAACTACCATAGTAAAAATTACATTCGAACTAGAAAAATGGAAGCCATCCTACAGGAAATCCTCATTTCTGGGGATTCTTTCTTCCAAAAAGGAACATAACATTGAAGCTTTAGAAGTCAGCACTAAGACTTGGGATATTCCTCATGCTGCTCTGTATTGTCAGTACATGTTAGTACTGATCTGAGACAAGGCAAAAATTCTTTGAGCTAGGCTGGGAATGAAAAGAATAGCTCCCCAGTTAAATGTCTGCAAAGAGGAGAGCCAAAATAAGAGGACTTCTGGGGAACGAGGAGCCGTAAGGCTGGTATTTCACAGGGTACCCTACAGTAGCTCCAGTAGTCCACAAAGTACTGCCTGGTTTCTATCTGCATTTTCCAAATCAGTGCATAACCATGTCATGTGCTCATTTTGATGACATACATTATCATTTGACAGGTTCAAAGCCTGAATCTCAATTTCAGCCACAATACTTAGTACTTCTACACATCATGCTTGAGCCATGCAGAAAACACTGCAAAAAAACTAAGGCATCTTTATAAAGCCTGTAAATAACTAGTCAAATACTCTACAGGAGTTTTGTATCAGAGGCAGCAAAAGCCACTATGGCATTGAGCTCTTGATTTGGTAAAAAGACTCTCCACCCCTCAGCACTGCACCTCACCTCTGCCTCGGTGAGCAAGGACTGCCGGCGGTGGGGCGGGAGGCAGGTGGAGGGACCTGGCAGGAAGGCAAGCAAGGGGATGCCCCTTCCCTCTGTGCGTCGGGTGGCACCGACCCTGGCTCCAGGCAGGGGCAGTCACCATGCCGCAGGCTCAGCACCCTCGGCGCTACCTTGGAGAGCTTCACAGGGTGCCACCTCTGGCACCCAGCCCGCAGGGGTGCCAAGGGGCTACTTGTTGGCCCTGGGTGAGGTGCGCAGGCTGCTGGGATTCAGAAGAGAGGCCCATAGCACATCATGTTGCGGTGCTGTAGCTTATGGGCTATCCGGTTGTAGGCAGTGGACCCCCCTCTCCCACTGGGCTATCCCTTTTTTTCAACAGAGAATCAACATCTGCTGAACCAACAGAGACAGACCAGCGCCCAGTACATTTCAGACTGAAATTCAGATCCCTGTTTCAAAACAGGTACAGCAGAAGCTCAACTCTGCGTGTCCTACATCTCAAATGTGTTTTAATCCCTGGGGTATGAGCTCCTTGGAGGGTAGAAGATGGATGATAAAAGTCTCCTCTTTATCATCAGGAACTCAATCTTGGATTCAAGAAATCTTTCCTATTAAAACCGATTGATTTACTGCCACAAAAAGTGTTGGTCAAATCACCGTTTCCTGTCTTGCTCCCCCCAAATTTAAATTGAAAATGTTTTTGCCTTCCTGAAGTTTCTTGCCTCACTCACTGTACAAGTTTCACAATGAGCAAAACAGCAATTCACTGAGAAATTCCAATTCCCCACCTTTGTTTTTTAAAACCCCACCATTTTTAAAAAAAAAAAAACCTACGGCAGAAGACTGGTGGAAAAGCAGTCTGCAAACACATAACTGAAGACTGAGTCACAGCACACATAACCTAAAGATACTAAGAAGTTCCACAGGATTACATCCTAATCTTTATTTTGCACACCTTGAGTTTGCAAAAATCTAATAATATCCTTTTAATAGCATTTTTTGTTGACATAGCAAATTCATCACACAAACTGAAAAATAAAAATGTCCCTATATGGTGTGATGTTGCCACTCACCTCTGCTAGTTACAATGAAGTACAACAAAGTATTCACAGCAGTGGTATATTGTTACCTTCTTTGTGAACCCCTACTAGAAGAGGCCACCTACCAGCAGGCTACAATGATATTTTCTGATTCTGACTCCATTTCTACCTTGAGGTACATTGCAGGCAAGCAAGGGAACAGGCTGTAACACTTGTACTTCCTTTTGCCTTGCAGAAGTGTTTTCCCATGGCCTTACAGAAGCAGTTCCCTTTCCTGACTCCAGATTGTTTTATCGTATCTCAGTTTTTCTTTTGGGTGTCTCCAATGGAGGTTCTGTCAGAACTTCCATTTTAAATAACTCTATCAAAAAAAATACCTTGACCCAAAGAAGGGACATTGATATTCTTAAGGGTAAGGTTCTCCATGAGATAAAGGTGTACACAATTGGGCTGCATTTATTTTTTTATAGTTTTTTTTTTCCTGTATAAATTTTGTGATAGCTGTTTTACAGATACAAAAATATTTTAGCATGAGGAATAGATGATATGCTTTTTACTGCTCCACATATTTATGCAGTATTGCACAAAACTGCACATGCTTTGATGTTCAGGTTGGGAAGTTAATCACCATGATTCTGTTTGTTCCATGACTACGTGACTCCCATGCTTATTACCAATTTTCAGTTCTATTTAAAACAAGTGACACTTTTTCTTTTCATTAGATTATTAAACCGACTTTGGTGACAAGACTGGAATTCACACAGAAGAATATTCTTGTGTGTAGGGATACTCATGATGTCGTTACATGACATTGCACTTTGATATTTGAAAACCTTTAAAATAAGACATACTTGGAAGCTATCGGACTACTAGCAAGTAAAGATGCACAGCCTCTACATAGCTGAAAGCGAAGGGTTTAAGCAGCACGTTTTCAACAAAGGGATGTCAAACCTTTTAAGGCAGTGCAGCTCATTCTAAGGACAGCTGTATTAGGGAATGTTAATTATTCAAAGTACAGGTGTACTCAGAAATTTTGTTATAAAACTGATGAAGAACCCGTTCAATAGGATGAATGAGACTTCCTTCCTGTTCCACAAAATCTACATGATTTCAAGATACAATGCTGTGTTCAGGGGAAACTGAGGTCTCTCAAAGGCGACTAAGAGAAATCTGCAGCCTTGTAAAGACAGAATCCTGGCTGGAGCATTCACCTGTTATCCAGGACACTCAAGTTCAAGTTCCTCCTTTTTTGTATTTGAGCAGGTACTGGAGCTTGAAAACAAGCTAAGCTTGTTTTTCTTTCTGTCTAATAAATGTTTAATTACTTACACAACTGGGCAAGCTTCAGTACAAGACGACTCCTATAAGGTGGCAGACATGCATGCTATGAACCTAGCTATAAGGTTCTTTTAAAACGTCTCCCCTTTTCCATCCTTCATTCTTTGTACAAAACTCAGCATTAGTTTAAACTGCTAAAAATTCAGAAAATGTGTACTTCGATAGGTTTTTTTTTTCAGGTCTAATATCAGTAGCTATCATTACTAGTAATCTTATCACAGATAATGCATAACATCAACCATCCCCATATAATTTCAGGTACTCTGAAACCGTCACTTGTTTTTAACCGGAAGAACATCTCTTCAGATTTTATTTACCTTACGAATGGCTACTTCTCCTCACTGAGGCAAAGAGCAAAACATGAGAACTGAACATAAGCAGGATAAACCAAAATCAGCACTATGTGAAGTTTAACTGGTAGTGATTTTAAAATGACTTCTAGGGCCAAGATTTCTGAATTATGGGAACAGTGATTTTCTCGCAGCAGAGAGAATGCTATTTTTAGCTTACAGATATGAATTGAGAGTAGTATACTTTACAGCCAATTTGTAGATAGCATCATTATAGGTACTTACCTAAGCTTGATCTTGTATTAGACCGCTCTATTATCGCATGCTTACTTGGGTTGTTTAATACTGAGCGTTTGGCAAGCGAGATGTCTGCTGTGACTCGTGTAATTGATATACTGCAAAAATAAAATACAGTAAAGTAGAACAGAATGTTATTAATCTTGCAGGGATGTGGAGAGAAGAGGAGACTCGTTTAACACTAGAAGATGGCTAAGACTGCAAGAAAACAGCGGCAGCACAGTATTCTTTGCACAATGGGAACAGAGCTAAAGTTTATCTAATACTGTTACAAGAACTATTGATAAGGCATCCCCCTTTCTGCACAGCACCAAAATGCAGACCACTGACTGCAAAGCTACATGTGTCTGGGGAGAGTGGAGGCAGGAGGAGGTCAGAGACATGCTGCAGAAGACGGGACTTCCCTGGGGGCTCCAGGCCTCATGTGCTTAGACTTTGCACCAGCATTCCAGTATGAATAGGCTGGTTTCTCCTTTCCCTATTTTGATTACTTTGTTGAAATGACAACCTGGCTTACTTCAATCATTCATATAAGACATGTAAGGCTATGCAGAGTTAACAGGTAAAGACAAAGCTTAGCAGGGAAACTAGTACAGCCATATAACTCCTATTTTTATTGTTCTGTTTACTAGCATATGTTTTTTAACAGAGTGCAAGAGTTACCTATAATTTTGCAGAAAGATCCAGCAATATGCTGGCCACCTAAAAATGGTGACTGCACCACACAGAGAAACAAGCAAATGAAAATCAGTCTGATTATCTGGCAGGCTCAGTTTTCTGTTTATGAGAAATGATGAGCCAAGAGAGAAGTGGTTACTTCCAATTGTTTACACTGACCTGCTACATAACCTTCTGCATATTCTTCTTCCTACGAAAACAGTTAGCTCAGTTTGTTTTGCTTTACAGGGTCAAAACGCACCCTTTGGATAAATTCCCCTTCAAACTCTCTGGTCTAATGAGGTTTAGGGGTCACATTTTTCCAGTGCTGAGAGTTAAATTAGACCAATAATATTCCCTTGCTCTTCCTTGTATGACTTTACTTGCAATTTAAGAGGAGGAAATGGATTTGCTAAGGAACAGGGAGGGCTCCTCTCTAGCAAGCCCAGTCAGATGCTGTTCATTTGAAATGTAAGCAAATAGGTCATTTCCCAATGAGCTCAACATGTGTATATATTTATCTAAAACCCTACAAAATGTAACAAAGCCAGAAGTTAATATGGAAAAATAGAATTATTTGTACAATACCGATTAGTAACATTATTTTAGAAATTTAGGCATGACTTAACTTAAGCTAAAAACATAATCAAAGATTGTTATTTCTGGCACAGCCCCTCACAAATAATGCCATTAGTCTTAAAATTAAATCCAACACGTAATTTAGGGTACTCATTAGTTATCTTTATTTGCTAATTGATAAACACTACAAGCTTGTACAGCCTTTGTAGTTTTTTGTTTTGTATCGTCTTTTTTTTCCTACCAGTCTTCCTTCCTACACGCAATAGAAAATAATTTTTCCCTTTTTCAGGTGCAATTATGGTATATTGAACAAAGCTAAATTTATCAGTCTAAAAATGCTGGTTTTCATTTTAAGATCTTTTAACACCTTTTTAAGGTCATTTTAATTTCTTTTGAGATACGTAACACCAGGAAGAACAATCCTGCTCTCAAAACAAATAGTATCTATGTTCCTATAGTGAAACGATTGCAGTGACAGTGGAGACAGCTTGACAGCAGAGTGGCAGTGAAAGGACTAGCATGAATCTAAGAACCTCATGTACAAATTTTTTGAGGACCTTGTGTACCAATTCAGATCACTACTGAAGTTTGGGATGCTTCAAATCTGCTATTATAGACATCAATTGTATCGAGAGTATTTGTGGACGCACCCTGCCACAACTGGATCTACAACTGAAAATTAGATATATTGTAAAATTCTTTAAGGCATAAAGACACGGTTACCTTTTTTTGCTTGCAATACTCACTATTTTGTTAACTTCCGATTCTGAAGGTGCATATCTAAGATTTGACAACCCTGACTAATACAAAGAGGGACTGCTAAGTGTTTAGGTATCAGCACCCTGATTGAGAAAATTCCAACAGCTTAAACCACAATGTCCAGTATTTTAAAGAGCTGAAGCTATTCACAGAAAATCTCAAGCTCCCTCTTCAAAATCTGAGCACCAGGACACATAGCACAGTGTTACTGCTCTGCCCACTTCCAAACTAAATAGAACATTCATTGAAGTTACAGGTATTATAACAAGACCTTCCTGTTTTCTCATTTTGCTGCCCAAATGTCAACCCACTAGCACAGATTAATCTGGGGCTTGATCCAGTGGCAACATATTCACATGCGGAGAATCCACCTGATGTCTCTGGTCCATGGGTCTGTGACATCTGAATTACAGAACATCCACTGCTTTTAGAGATGGATTAGCACTTGACATCTGTACTAACGCAATGTCTGGAGGCTTAAATACAAATCAGATCAGACCTTGCCTAGTTCACTGTGGGAGACAGGCTGTAAGAGCACTCAGACCAAAACCCAGGGAAGTGCAGCCTGTCTGCTACCACGGGCGACCATATTTCAGCACGGTGGGGGACCTCCCCCTGCAGCAGTCCTTTTGAGACTTCCCACTACAGTGTCCAGCACTACTGTCAAACCAAGCTCCCATCTTGAGGGATCAAGAGTTTGACAATCATATACATTAGATAGTCTGAACGTGCTATCATTCATTACAAGTTAGATGCCACCGCGAGTAACTACAGCTGAGGAGGAATGTTGGCCCTCATCAGCTGGTACAGAACTCAGGAAGCACTGATGAGGTATCACTTGAAAAATAAACAAAATAACTTTCTAGAGTTCGCATTTATTAAATCTGCAGATAAATATTTAACAATTTGGAGTGTGAACGTCACAGCGATCAAGATGACATCCTTTTTTCCACTCTCAACAAACATATGCCCCTGAACACTCGCACTGCCTCAGCATGCTCTAAGGAAACTTCCAATCCACGCTATAGCCCACTGATCAAGGAATTAGCTGCCATACCTAATTTTCTACAAAAAGAATGTAATTATCTCTGAAGAACCTGGAAGTACCTAAACAAGACCCGAACTCAAGTAGATTTACATTGCAAAGTACTTACCGCCCTTCGAATCTATGTTTTAAAAAATCAAATAATGCTTTTTGCATCATATCTGTTACCTAGAAGCAAACAAACAACAAATTAATAATCACATAGGAAATTCATCATACTTGATGCTACTATTAATATGTAATGAAGTTGACAGTGAATCTTGTATCTGAACAACAGGGTTGGAATGTAATTTAATCTGAATTCTGATATGAAATAAAATACAAATAAGCAGCTATCCAGCAGAAACAAAAACTGTCTAGATTTTTGTCTATGATATAAATTATGTTATTCAGCTTAACTACCTTTGAACATTGAAATACAAATAAAACACAGTATTTTTGGCAAAATAAAACCATTCCCAACAAGCACTCACCTCATATCCCTTCAGAGAAGGCCCCACTAAAACTACTGGTCGCATAGAAGGCACTACATCATAGGGAGGGATGTGCTCTGTCTGCAAAACAGAAAAAAGCTTTCAGCACCACAGCACCTAGAGAGAGTTACTTACAATATTAGGAACTCTGAATTTCCAGTGATGTCACCAACACAGGAATCATGGATTCATTAGCTTTTCCTGAAAACTAGTAGTACAAGATAAGGACAGAACCTGTTTAGGGATATCTTTTGAAAAAGATTCTGGTTTTTCTACTGTTTTCATATTTTCTCTGGATAGCTAAAAAACTGTTATTCTGCAAACATTCTCATGTCCCACTCCATAATTCCTAATTGATAAATCAAAAAGGTTATTTCCAACAGTTCATGATTTGAAATGACTGACTCTAGGAGCTGTGACATCCGTTTCACACCAAAATTTTTTGTAGGTGAATTATGAAAGAGAAAAATAAAACAAAAAGGGATGGGAAAATCATAACACACCTCTTCTTCTGTTCAGATCTGCCCACTGCTTGACAAAACATTGTGACACCACTGCAAATTCCCATGGGAGCACTCAATATTCTGACTTCCACATTTGCATCAGCAATTCACTTGTAAATGAAATCAAAATAATGACTGATCAAGTTAGTATTCCTAGAAAATTTTCATAAACAGAGCTTGGGATAGCAAACCTTCCAGTTTGGGAAGTTCCTGTCACCACCCAAGAATGGATTCTGTTAGTAAAATATTCACCAAACTATTTACTGATGTATTGTGCACAATTTATAAGTAGTATTTTAAAATACAAAGATAAAAAGATTGCCTGCTTCCAAAGACTGCAAACATTTTTATATTGTTATCAAAAGAAAATATAAACAAATTAAACTGTTGTTTTGTTGTTTGTTTGTTTTTATAAATGGCTATTCAATATATACCCAAGAATGAGTTTCATCAAAAAGAGGTTTAGTTTATCTTTCTCTTAGGGAAGAAATGATTGAAATCCAAACCCAGGAACATGTGGGTGATATGAAAAAGTTATGCCAGAATGCCAGATCTATTTTTCAAATGCTTACATAGTACAAATACATCAGTCAAGATCACAGAATACAGTCATTGTTTGTTGTTTCAGTAGTCAAGGTATCCCAAGGTGTTTCACAATAACATTAAAATAAGTATATACATTCCAAAACACAAAAACACAAAGACAGACATTAATACAGTAACAGCACAAAATGCTACACAAGCAGCAGTCTATAGCAGTCTAAAACATGGGAAACATTTTTGTGAATGTTTTTCAACATAATTTATCTTACTTTTTGTTACCTGTAGCTTTACCAGATAATTAGTAACAGAAGAATGAATACCAGTGCCCAAGGCATCATAAGCATGTGAAATGAATTTTACACAGTGCAGAATCTGACTCAACACATTTCAAAGCAAAACCCTGCAATTATGCTGTGCCAGTGTCAAAATGCAGCCCTCCACTGTTCTTGCTAACACTACGAATAATCTGATATGCGTATTGGAGACAAGTCCTACAAAAAATTCAGTACCGATGTGTAAGTGCTTATAACACGAGTATCCTGATGCAACAGATCTTTGTCTTAATGTGGCTGACTCAACTGAAGGTATTCATG